GTAGGTCTAATAGTTTTTGAGTAATGTAAGGGTAGAAAATAGGCCACAATAGTTCGTGTAAATATACATACTGCCCTTGCGTCACCCCATACTTTCACGAAATTTGTTGTCACCACAGAACTTTAGTACCCTCAAGAGAAGAAGGGAAACTACATACAAGAAAAAAAATCCAAAGTTACCTCCAAACTGAACAATAAACCGCCGCTATTCATGAAATACTTTAAATAAGATCATGAAACTTTGCATACTAACTGGATTAACTATAAAACAGGGCTTCCGTTTTTTATTTTTTATTACCATTATTTTCACTGTAAAAAGAAATTACCTAAACTATCGGCGTCTTGAAGATTGTTTCCTGCCGCCCGATCGGTAGTGCTTCGGCCTTCGAACAGGATAGCTGTGTCGTTTACGATCAGAATACACATTACGCAACAGGACGACGTAAAATTAAAATGGGAAATAACCGTAATAAAAATAAGAAGCGACTGGCTTGGCGTTAAGAAACAGGCATAAATATGATAAACCCAATGAAATAAGTGTCTAATGACCTATCTACTTACAGTATTAGTGATTACAAACATGTCGGTACATAGCATACGACACGCGGGGAAGTGGGGGCGAAATTAGAATTTGAGCTGAGTTACTATAGCCCCTTAAGTAGATAACTTTTATGTAAATATTTAGAGGTATGTAAAGTTTACAAATTATGCAAGTAGATTTTTCTAAGTAATTTTCTGAATTAAAGATGTGGTATTTTCATAACGTGTTTTTATTTCAGTTGTTAGTTGTAATTCAAACATATGCTTAAATAATTTTGAAGTATCGAGCTCATTTTTTTTTCAATCTGTCCTGGCTAATGTTCTAAATAACTATACCTAGTGTGATAAAACTTCACGAACAAATAGAGAGCAACCAGTGAGTCATCTATGCTAGATATTTTATTCGAAAAACATGGAGTACTTTTTTGTGAAATCAATAAATTGATAAAATAAATTGTCATTTATGAAAAATTAAGTAAAGTAAAGTTGCAGCCTATACACGTCCCACAGCTGGGCACAGACCTCCTCTCATTTCTGAGAGGGTTTTAGGGCAAGGAATAGTCCGCCGCGCTGCCCCAATGCGTGTTGGCGAACTTCACATGTCTTCGAAATATTTCTCAGACATGCAGGTTTCCTCACGATGTTTTCCTTCACCGCCGAGCACGTGGTAAATCAGCACTTAAAATTGCAATTAACAATTTCATTGGTGCCGGGGGGGATTGAACCAGGTTTGCCCGCGTATTGTGAAATTTACAGCGAGCGCTAACCATCTGAGCTACTTCGGTCATTTATGATAATGATTTAAATATAAATGACGCCACATTATCGGATGCTTATTAAGATGGTTATTAATAGATGCTCATTATTGTTTATCATAGTAACTACTTAAGAGTTCATTGTTAATAATAGGCCCTGGGAATGAGGTGATCGCTACCATCATCTATCTATATATTTATTGAAACACATAGTGCAGGAGTGTACAAGCTTAATTGTGAATGTGGTCTCTCCTACATAGGACAAACTAAACGATCAATTAAAACCCGCGTTAAAGAACATATAGCTGATGTGAAGAATCGACCCCCCGGGAAGTCTGCAATCTGTGAACACGTACAGGATCGCTCCTGTCACTACATCAGATTTAATAGACCACAAATCCTCGCTAAAGAACACCGATTCCTTCCAAGGATGATTTACGAGGCTATTGAAATCAAAAAAATCCTAATTTCAATAGAGAAGATGGTGGAACCTTCTGCTTGGGATCCTATAATAAATAAAATTAAATCCCAACCCAAGCATACAACTGCAAGACTTCAAGATACCATAAGTTCACACTGTGTAGATCGGAACAAAACTTACATTTTAATCTATGGTAATCGCGGTTAACTTGACATCTGGACGTTGAATATCTCAGTACCACCGTGACCATGGGTGCTGTAAAGTGCTCGAAACGTCGGGTATTTAAAAAGTTATATATACGCGATAAAATCCGTAAAAACTAGTATTATTTAAATGTGTAGTCTTCGCGTAAATATAAGAAATCATTTGTTTAGAACTAGTAGTAAATTAATATATGGGTTTCAATAAATATTCTTGTAACCTACATTGAATGAAAAAATATTCTATCCTATTCTATAGTTTCCATCAAAAACGTAAACTAAATTACATCATTAAAATTTCAATGAATAATATTAAAATATGCATTTTTAAAATAAAAGCGCCATCTATATATCATATATGGAACTGAACTCGTAAACGTGTGCTCAGCTTAATAAATTAATGAGTAATAAGAAAATGCAAATAAATTAATAAATTTAAAACTACTTAACACGTTTACTACTTAACTAATTTCTAACACAGTTCAAAAGGAAACTTCGTTTTAAGGTTACTTCAAAATGGACAGAACTCAGATTTCTACAGCACACATTCGTAGATGTGTCATGAATGTTAAGTAATGGTTCATTGTTTAACTATGCAGAGACAGTTTTCACGATACTTGTGTTAATACTTTCACAGTGTGAGGTTATGAATTGAGTATTGTTGGTGAACTATACACACACATTATAATAAGAAATTCTAAAGCTCAGCGAATTTAGGTTATCTGTCATGTTTTAACACGAATTTGCATCAAAATAAGTTTTTCTTAAAATTCAAGCTAGTCCACTGCTGAACATATGCCTCTCTTAGAGAATAACACAGAGCACGGCCCTGAGCCACATACATCGACGGATTTCCTGCGTCTCTCACCAAGTCGTCACTCCATCGTCAATCCATCTAAGAACCGGTTCTGTGAGCCGCGTGCTGCGTGCCTTTTTAAGGATCACTTTCTTATGTTATTATAACGTGTTTTTTTTTTCGTAGAATAAAGGTGACAAACGAGCACACAGTCCACCTGATGGTAAGTGAATGCTGTGGCCCGTAGACATTTCTTCATTTATCCTCTATTAAAAATCAAAACGCTGATACGTTGTCACTCCTGAGGACTAAAATGGAATTCCTCGTTTCAAATAAAAAAGGGTCTCCGGATCTCTACACTCACCGTACGAAACACAGCAGTATTATACTGCTATTTTACGCTGGTATTCTGTGAGAGCGTTGTCCTTTCCCGGTCGAGCTGACCCATTCGTGCTGCAACGGTAATATAGCTGCAGCTTGGCTCTACCACGTATAAAACGTTTTTTTCTCTCTTTAATTTATTGCTATTTTATTCCATCTACCTACCTAGCTCAGGAAAATCTTAGTGGTTTTAAATGCTATCACTGCATTTATTTATAATGTTTGTTTATATGACAACGAGACTGTCACTCGAGAACCATTTTAATTTCCCACCGATTGGCGGTTCTTCGAGCAATATGGCCGGCCTATTCTCACTTCAGCTTACTAAGTACAGTACTACAGTTCGGCTATGTTAGTTAAGTTCAGGTTCTACTGCAATACGATCTAGCTATCACGCAAAGAAACTCCGAATATATTTCTACAAGGTGTAAGAGTAAACACCGTTGTCACTAAAATCATAGGTAGTTGGCTTTAATATAAAAATATTTATCCGAATTTTAAAAAAAACGCTATTTTCTTTCATAAAATTTAAAAAGTTTCTGTCCGACACCATCCGTAAATTCATGGATATCCTATGCACCCGAGTGACGTCACTGTAAAGATCACCGCCCGCGCTAGCTACCCACACAACATTCCAACAAAAACAATAGGTACACATAACCTGTGATGTAACTTTTCCTTCATACTTTCATCCTGGCTTAGGAGCAAAAATTGAGGAATTAAGGAAAAATTGAGATTTTACAAAAAAAATATTGTTGTTATTTTTCATCGAATTTACGTTCTATAAGAAAAACCAAACAACTGGTTTCAAGGATAAGGGTGTTTACACTAACACCCTGTATATCTCGCTGATCGACCTTGACCAGTTTGGCCTGTGCAGTGAAATAACACTTCGCAAACCTACTTTTAATTTGATGTAAGGATGAAAATCGAGCATACAGTCCACCTATGTTCCTGGTAAGTAAATGATGTGACTCATAGACACCTATGTCTATCATCGATTAAGAATCAAAATGCAAGCTCCTAGTAAATATATATAATTAATTACTGGCAAATTACACTGATTGTATGCTCCTGTTTTCAAGATTTGAGATATACGTGAAGAAAAGCGTTTTGTAACGTTCCGCATGTTACCCAGTCGATTTAGATCGACGTTTCGATCAAAGTTGGCTTTACCTAGTCCTACACTAGTTCTACTTTCTGTAAGGTCGCTTCAGGAAGAAAATGTTTATGATAAAGAGTTGTTTCTGCTTCATGAAGTCGGCCAGCTATTGATCTCTTGGGTACCGTTGCACTATCCCAAATTTCCTACCTTCTGCTCATCGTCCTTTCTTGTTTTCATTGTTTGATTTCTTGTATTAGTTTTGATGAAATGCATGGATCTAGAAATATGATCATACGAGTTGTATCCTCCATCTTATCATCGGAATGTGCCGAGGTTGGTATGATTATAGGCTTGTATGATCTTCAAAGAATACCGAGTACAAGATACGCATACCCTGTCGACACCCTCTCAATCTTCTCAACGTCGTCAACAAGAGACTTATAAACTAAAAATCCGACACCACTTTGGGACAGATGGTCGCCTTCCACGCGATAGAACAAGTTATCAGATTCGAGGATTAGCATGTAATTCTTTATGAAAACTATTTTTGTTTTTGTGTATATACATTAAATATTTCGTAAAAATACTGAAAAGCCAAAAAATAGGGGATCCATCGGAGTTAGTTGTTAAATTGCTGATAAGGTTCTCTTATACACACGCTACCGTCACTAAAATTTAAAAGGCTCTACTTAAAATCTAAGCGGATGTAACATTTTGAGGATAAACAACTGACATTAATGTTGATATTAATCCACCATATTTCTTTTATAACTTTAATTTTACTTTAACTGTTTATTACTAACCTGATTCCTCCTCGTCGTCAATTTCATTTTCTTCATCTAGCGCCCTCTGCGCGACTTCTTCTTTTTGTTTCTTACTTCCAGTATTATAAATTATATTAGCTTCTTTACTATATTTATTCATATCCACATTATTTTTCTTAAAACACATTCCACTCGCAACATTCACATCACCATTCAATTCTAAACTTTCGTCTAAATAAGAATACACGTTCTTTTGCAAACAACTAACTGATGGCTTGAATGTACACTCATTAAGTATATTGTCCCATAATATGTTCCCCGTTCTAAATGTACCATTTTGGTATAAATTGTTCAGGAATGAACTACCAGATATAGCTCCTATAATTTTCAGACGTTTTGGTATATTATTTTCGATATTTCTTACTTCCTCGTCGGTTGCATTTTCACTACATTCAACTTTAGATATATTTATAATTAAAAGTAAAATTAAACTAGTCTTCATTATTTGCGACATATTTGTTCTTTTTCGTCTGTCGTTGTGGATTATATTATTTCTTGTACACTGGTATACATATTGGTCAACCGTCGCCATTGTCAGTGCATTACTGATTACAAACGAAAGCTTTGGTTTGTGTATTTTCTCAAGGTTGGAAATCCTTATCTGGATTTCATGTAAAGATTAATGATCCCATTTTCAATGAATTGGGACGATAGCGATGGATCAACCTAGTAAACGATCTTTTGTTCATTGGCCTAAAGGTATTCTTGGTATATGAGATGCTTGATTTTGCCTTTCTTAGTTTCAGTTTTGTTTCAAATTTAAGTCACCTGTTAACAAAATAAATTGATTAATTTATATCAGTTACATAATATTGTAACAAGAAGTTTGCTTATTATTACGCTACCAGAAAATTCACAACTTATTGATCTTAAGAATGAAATTGATCAATTAACTCTGCAACTACCTAGTGCACATAATGAGATTATGGAGTAAAACTTATAGAATACAAATTTAATAAAAACCCTAAAATAGTATCATAAAATAGAAATTATTTACAAGAAACTACTCGACAGTTCCCTCAAACACCATATTATTTCCAAATCCTGCAAAAAAAGCCTAAAGAAGACAACTCTAGCATTAACCAAAACTCAATATTTAAAACTGTTTTTGTTGAAGAAACTAGTTCTGATTTTACTGTCCAAGACATAAATGAATGTTTTTTAGAACCATTCCTATATTACTATTATTGGAAAGATAATTTAGATCAAAAGCTTATTTTTTATTCATGTTGTGTATATTAGAATAACCTACAATAAAACTCTCATAAAAATAAATTGTTGAAAGTGTACACGATATCATTATTGTAGCGCATGTTTGTTAAACTAAATAAAATAAATTATTTTAACATTGAATTGTATACAAAAATAAATTTTTTATATGTTTTTATTTCTTTCGGGATGTACAAATATGCAAACGTAAAAATGGTTAAAACACACACTTAAAACTATCAACTTGTTAAAAGTATTAAAATATTTCTGAAAATATCTAATAAACTATCAACTATTGAAAAAATCTATACTTATTAACAGTGATACTAATAATGTACGACTTATCATAATATCATAAATCCTGTAAAAGATAATTAGAACATTTTTAGTTTATCTAAACCTAATTTGCAAAGGTGTAAGAAAACATGTGTCATTATTTCTATATAATAAAATCAAGATAAAAGTAGAATGTACTCAATTAAATTATTTTTGTTTGTATTTTCGTCGACTTCCCATTAAAGTATGATGCTATTTAGTAATGTTAAAATTACTCCTTTTTAGTTTTTTATAGTCGATGTTTACTTTTCTTAAGAGTAATTATATATTCACTTAATCAACGTACTTAAAATGTTGCGTTAGATTTTTTTGGTTTTATACTTTAACTAAACTACAGTACCATCAACATATTAAATAGAAATATTTGTTTAGGAAACCAGTTTAACAGAGTTAATTATTTATCTTCTAATAAGGTTGAAGTAGTTTTACTTTTTAACGCAGGTGCATCGATTCCGTGAATAAAGATAGATGTACGCGGTATTTTACTTATACACAAAATATATACGATTTCATTGATTTATTAAATAATTTTAGCTTTTATAAGTGTCATTATTGGGAACATGCCTTCTCTCATTTTGAGAGTTATGGAGAAATTGGTCTCCCAGCTGCTACTATGATACGTTTTCCTTCAACGTCAAGTTTACGATTTTTTTTCACACTGGTATTATGTTAGAACTTGGTCCTATATAAGACGCTTGCAGCGCGGCTCTACTGCGTAAAAATAAATAATTGAATTTCAATTCATTTTATAGCTTGAATTTTGTATAAATTAGCTTGGGTGTGACTGAACTTTTAAAGCTAGATTTACATTAACTTCTTTCTTTTTCATTTCATAAAAATCCTCTGCTGGGCACGGACTTCAAGAGATACAACAGAAGCAGGATTTTGTAGAGAGAATGTTTTAAGTGAGACCGGTCCACCGACCGCTAAACATACTTTGAAGACACACTTATTAGAAGCCCGGATTTTCACGTTTTTTCTTCGAGTCTAAGCAACAAATTTGGGTTACAATTATATTATAATTTATTAAACTATGGCCTTCTTTGATCAACACCTATCATGGAATGTTGCTTCCATGTAATCGTTATTATAATTCTATTACTAAAAATTGAGGGGCATTTATTTTTGACGCGAATTTTTTTATAGGATGAGGGTAACAAACGAGCACACAGTCTACCTCATGGTAAGTGGTTTCTGTGGGCCATAAACATCTACATCTATCTTCGATTACGAATCAAAATGCAGATGCGTTGTCACCCGTGAGGACTAAGATGGAATGCCTTGTTTCTGTAAAAGGGATCTCCGGTTCTCTACACTCACCATAAAAAAATAAGCAGCATTGCGCTGCAGTTTGACGCTGATATTCTGTGAGAGCATGGTCCTTCCCCGGCCGAGCGGACTGAGGAGGTAGCACTCTCTTACTCATTTCTGTCACCAAATAGCAGTTTTTGCACTGATATGTTCCAGTCAGAAGAGTTACGAACCAACTATAATTAAGGACTGTGAACTTAGAATGAAGTAGACTTTACATAATAAAATTATAGGGTATGATATATATGAGGGTAGACTACTAAATATTATTTAGTAATCTACCCTCACTCTTAACACATGGCAAATAAACCACCTTTGAGGAAATCTATGGGGCAGACCTATTTTCAGCAGTGGACATTAATAGGTTGTTACGGTAACGGTAAATGTATTATTTTAAAATGAATAAAACCATATAGGTAATGTATTTTTTAACTATTCGGATGCTTTGGTTCAAATTTTTTGAGATTTCACTCTCAAGCGCTATTATCCACCCCCTTAAATCGGCCACCGGGGGCTATGGTACTATCGACTGCCCCCTGCTACGCCACTGCCACCTGGAATCCGTCCCGGTAATGGAGAATTTTATGTCTATGTCTAGTTTTAAAATGGCACTAGAAATGCAAACCTGCACAGAATTTCTATGTAACAAATGTAGATTTTTGATTGAAAAGGGTCACAGCAGGACTGCAAAAACTACCGCGGTATCAGCTTGCTTAGTATTGTGGGTAAACTGTATGTTAAGGTGTTAATTGAAAGAGTTATGAAAGAAACTGATGGAAAAATTTGGGATGTGCAAGCGGGTTTTAGAAAGGGAATGGGGTGTACAGATCAAGTCTTTTCCATGCGCATGATTGCGGAGAAGTTTTTGGCCAAAAACCAGAAAGTTTTTTGTGCGTTCATGGACTTGGAAAAGGCTTATGACAGAGTGGACAGGAATGTGTTATGGCAAACACTGAACTCATATGGGTTGAGCGCTGGTTTGATACAGGCATTAAGGTCTCTTTATAGGGACTCTAGTGCTTGTGTCAGGATCAATGGGGTCTACTCGGACTGGTTCGGCATCCAAAAAGGTGTCAGACAGGGCTGTGTGGCTTCCCCCTTGGCTGTTCAACCTATTTATGGACCGGTGTTTGCAAACTTTGAAAGATGAAGAATGTGGGTTAAGAATGGGCGAGTTAACCGTCAAATGCCTTTTGTATGCCGATGATCAAGTCATACTTGCGTCATCGGCGGCAGAGTTGCAAATGATGGTTACATTAATGAACTGGGAATTAAAAGAAAGGGGAATGAAAGTGAACGCAAGTAAGACGAAAGTGATGGTTTTTGAAAGAGAAGAAAGCAAAACGGTATGTGAAATAAGAATAGAAGGAGAGTTGTTTGAGCAAGTGGATGAGTTTGTGTATTTGGGATGTGTATTTAGCAGGGATGGTAGATATGATAGGGATATAGAACGACGAGTAAATGCAGGGAATAGAGTGAATGGGGCACTACACTCTATTATGAAGAACCAGAATTTGTCAAAACAGGCACGTATGGTAATTCATAATGCTGTGTTAGTCCCTACTTTAATGTATGGTAGTGAAAGCTGGGTGTGGCAGAAGAAGCACGAAAGTAAAATAAATGCTGTAGAAATGCGGTCTTTAAGGAATATGCTAGGGTGTAATCTGAATGACAGGGTGAGAAATTGCGTGATAAGAGATAAATGTGGTATGCAAGATGATGTTGTGACCAGGATTAAGAAAGGAATGCTTCGGTGGTTTGGTCACGTAGAAAGAATGAATGAGGAAAGAGTGACAAAGCAAATTTATATGGCAGATGTGAATGGCCGAGTCGGGAAGGGACGCCCTAGGAAAAAGTTTATCGACCAAATTGGCGATATTTTGAAAATGGGCCACGTTAGAAGTACCCTTAACCGACGAGCATGTATGCGTAGATATATGGATGTAAAGGAGGCGAAAGAGGTATGTCAGGATCGTGCCAAATGGAAGTCCGTAGTCTCTGCCTACCCCTCTGGGTGACAGGCGTGAGTGTTTATGTATTTATGTATGTATATGTATCAACCAACGCATCAGAATATTTAACTCTTTAATTCCCAGTGTCACCTGTAAGTGACAGCTGTTTAACATTTTTTTTTATATATAGAAGAGGGGGCAAACGAGCATGCGGCTCACCTGATGTTAAGTGACTACCGCCGCCCATGATCAACCTCAACACCAGGGGAATTGCAGGTGCGTTGCCGGCCCT